CCGATTATCGAGAGACGAGATCTGGGATACAGAGTCGCAGTATCTATAATAGAGCGAACTTCCATGTTGGACTAATGAGTATGTTGCCCTGAAGGTCTTTTATCGTCCATAAATAGAGTTAACCTGTGGACACCTGCGTTAATTAGGCCATGTTTTTATATACTGTCAATTGCGTCGGGGTTTAAATCGGGTTCAAAGATGACGCCTTAATGTTTATTCCAACCCTGTGTGTATGTGTGTGTGTGTGTGTGTGTGTGTGTGTGTGTGTGTGTGTGTGTGTGTGTGTGTGTGAAGACGCTTATAGTATGTCTGAACTGAAAAAAAAATGTAAAGCTAACTTTTTTACACACACACACACACACACACACACACACACACACACACACATTCTTAACAGAGTATCATACAAGCATAAAAAATAAAAAAACCAACCATATTTTATCAATTTAATGTATTCAAGTACTTCACGTTTTAAGAATTAGGAAAACTATGCCCTGGAGACTTGCCTGACGGTTTGTAGTGGAGTGTAGGACAGATGACCGCGAACTTAAGGAGATTTATCTGAGAAATTTATGTGAAACCCAAGAACCTGAGGGGCCGCCATCAGTGTTATAGGCTGGTCACCCTCCAGTACCGTGAGATACCGTCATCGTTAACACTACAATTATCCCATGATACTCTGAGGGTCTTTTAGGTTAAAGTGGTCGTTAGTTCTAAGAGGCCTTAACCTTACCTTACATTACCTTACCTAAATCTGGGTCTTGTATGTTTAAGTGGCTCCCAGTTCTAAGAGGCCTCAACCTAACCTATCCTATCCTAACCCAACCTAACCTTAACCTAACGTTACTTAACCATGAGAACTGAGAATCATTAGGATTAAAACCCATTAGGAACAAGACCATTAGGATTAAAGTCCATTACGAGCGGGTTAAATTAGGATTAACGCTCATTAAGACTTGAGACCCATTAGGGATTAAGAATCATTAGGGTATAAAAGGATGAGGTAACGGAAGGGGTGAAACTATGGAAGGGGGTCTGTCCCACGGGAAGCTCCAGTACCATAAAGAAGGGAATCCATGGAAGACTTGGACGAGACGAGACCCATCACAGTGCAAAGATGAGGCTGTGTGTGTGTGTGTGTGTGTGTGTGTGTGTGTGTGTGTGTGTGTGTGTGTGAGAGAGAGAGAGAGAGAGAGAGAGAGAGAGAGAGAGAGAGAGAGAGACCTTAGCCTGTCTCAGTGTATTGTAGGTCTTAAGGCAAATTTTAAAAATCTAACTTAGGAACCTTTTCAGAATTCTTGTGTAGTAGGATTATCGCGTTGGTTAGATTAGGTTATGATATCAGTGATGGGTATAGGTTAGGTTACGTGAGGTTAGGTTAGGTTATCAGTGATGGAGGGGGGTATGGGTTAAGGTAGGCCTAGGTGGAGAGGGTGACAGAGCGATGCTGTTAGACTGACTGGCTGTGGTGTAAGGTGGAGGGCATAACGTATCGTTGTTGGTGAGCTGTTGCGATGGAAACAAATTATATCCTGGTAGGCCTACACACACACATACACACACACACACACACATCTCTCTCTCTCTCTCTGTCTCCATCCATCATCTTCCACGACGCAACACTTTAAAAAAAAATCCTCTTCTCCCTCCCTCCCTCCTCCTCCTACTCTTCTCCACCATCTATATGTAGGCTTATGTCTGTTTTAGGCCTACGTGAATATTGACACTGCGAGGATTCCCACCAACACCACCACTACTACCACCACCACCTCTTCTTCACCACCACTACTACTATCACCTCCCCTTCACCACCACCACACCACCACCACCACCTCCCCTTCACCACCACCACCTCCCCATCACCCACACAAATCACATTAACCTAACCTAACCTAACCATGGTATAACAAGTACAGTAAACAAGTAAACAACAAAACAAGAACAGGATGTGTTTACTATTTTTGTTTGTTTATCTCGTGAAGAGGACACACTGACGCCTCCCCCCCCCCCTCACGTCCGTCTGTCCGTCCGTCCTTGCTTCCGTCTGTCCGTCCGTCCTTGCTTCCGTCTGTAACATAGTGTGTCCATTAACCCTTTGTAGGCGAGAGGGTTAAACCATCGTCCTGAAAAAAAAAGGTTAAACCATCGTCCTTAAAGTGTTAAAACGTCGTCCTCAAAAGATTCAGTCATCGTCCTGGGCTTAACCATCGTCCTCAAGGGGTTAAATCATCGTCCTCAAACAGTTAAACCATCATCAATACAGCCTTAAAACATCGTCCTCAAACAGTTAAACCATCATCAATACAGCCTTAAACCATCGTCCTCAAACAGTTAAAACCATCATCAATACAGCCTTAAAACATCGTCCTCAAACAGTTAAAACCATCATCAATACAGCCTTAAACCATCATCCTCAAAGGGTTAAGCCACCATGTTAAATGTCTACCCGTGCCTCAGGTAGTTGTAAACACGACAGCTTCTACAAAATTAAGAAATTTTTACCCAAACTTACACTATCAATACAAGATCTGAGTGGGGGCTAACAACACGCCTTTTACAATCATTACTATCAAGATTTATGTCATTTTGGACTTGATTCTTGAGGAGGGAAATATTATTTTTTTTCCATAGATAATAATAGATGCAGGTTTAGCATATTCCTCCTCCCTCCCTGACTAGATATCTCTCTGTTACCTCCCTGACTAGATATCTCACTTACCTCCCTGACTAGATATCACTCTTGCCTCCCTAACTAGATATCCCTCCAGCTACAGAGACAGGCCTGACACATGGCATTATTGCGGACCTGCCATAAACAGATGAACTGTAGCCAAGTCAACTATACAAGTAAACCGATTATGGATTATTACTCCTGAAGTCAAGTCATCTGGTGTAACGTCTTGGGTCTGGTTTTGATTTTACTTCATGTGTTTGTTGATGTTTGATACTGCTGCTGACACCACCACCATCTCTCACCACCCTTAATATTGTACCTCCTTCGTCGCTCGTGTGTGTGTGTGTGTGTGTGTGTGTGTGTGTGTGTGTGTGTGTGTGTGTTTTACCTCTGCCGTTTACTGTTCCTAATTATCTGATGGTGCTAAAACACACACACACATACACACACACACACACACACACAAACAAACACACACACACACACACACACACACACACACACGTCCATACAGTTATCATCCTCCTCTTTAATTTACCTTTAATATCAATTACCTGCTTCAAAGACTCTTTTGTTTCCTGGACCCAATCTACTTTTTTTTTTACTATTAATTCAGTCCCAAAATGATGCCTTATTATGCTAGTTATACACACCTGTAGTTGGGTGTCAGTATGGGTAAAAAAAAAATCACTCGACAAATTAAATGATGTATAAAAATTGCTGATGGTTTTAGCATGTGTAGAGGTGTTGGCTGTGTTCTGTGTTCTTGAGGAGGGAGAGGGTATTGTAACGTGTGTGTGTGTGTGTGTTGTCTTGAGGGAGCTTTCTACACAAGGACATTATAGAAAACGAGTACTGGTGAGCCACAAGCAAGCACCACAAACCTCTGTAAACGTATTGTACAGGGGCGAGAGTTGGCAGTGTGTGTGTGTGTTTTACCTGGTCACTCACTGATGAATTATTAGGAAGTGGCTACCGTTCCGGGTCCGCCTCTCAATTAAATTTTCCTTAGGGACCAGGTATGATAAGCCTCTGTACAAAATAAATGGCCTTGCCTTCCCGTGTACGAGGAGGACATTGTCGTAGTATACCTTAAACTCCCACGTGTGTGACCTGAGATATAAACCAAACCAGACTTAACATCAACTGGTTAACACTAATGGTTAGGTTACGGTCGCTTTGTTGGGTCTGTTGTAAATGGTTATTTTATACATAGGCTCCCTCAAAAATACATTGAAAAAGCCACAGCCTAAATATTTCTTTTGACTAGAGGTGGAAGAACAGAGGTTTGGCCACTGCCTCACTACTCAACCTACACACAAGTATTAGTACCTGTGAATTGATAGGATCTTATATAGTAAATTACCTGATGATTGGATTACCTGTCTGTCTGTCTGTGTATGTATATATATGTATGTGTGTGTGTCTGTCTGTCTGTGTATGTATATATATGTATGTGTGTGTGTGTGTGTAGTAACCATAGCTACGGTAGTGTGGCCATACAGCAAGAGGAGAGGAGAGGCGTAGTAGCTTAATAGTCTTACGAGGAAATGGCGGGACAAGGGAAGAGAGTGGGCCAAGATTTATGATTTAGTGGCGTAAGGGTAAAATCTTTTGGTGCTTTAATGGCTTGGATATCCGGATTTTTATGTCTTTAATGACTATGTTGGCTCGCCGTAGTGGACAAGGTATGTTCACTGAAGTACCGGATTTATGTCTTGATTATAATGGACGGGTCATCTGTCATTGGTTGAGAGCGTATCATTAAAAAAGCCTTGGTGAATGTTTGGTAAATTAGGGTTAAACTTGGTGTGTTCATGGGTTAAACTTGGTGTGTTCATGGGTTAAACTTGGTGTGTTCATGGATTAAACTTGGTGTGTTCATGGGTTAAACTTGGTGTGTTCATGGGTTAAACTTGGTGTGTTCATGGGTTAAACTTGGTGTGTTCATGGGTTAAACTTGGTGTGTTCATGGATTAAACTTGGTGTGTTCATGGGTTAAACTTGGTGTGTTCATGGGTTAAACTTGGTGTGTTCATGGGTTAAACTTGGTGTGTTCATGGGTTAAACTTGGTGTGTTCATGGGTTAAACTTGGTGTGTTCATGGGTTAAACTTGTTGTGTTCATGGGTTAAACTTGGTGTGTTCATGGGTTAAACTTGGTGTGTTCATGGGTTAAACTTGGTGTGTTCTTGAAATAAACTTTATCTGTTCATTCTTTTTTCTAATTATTACTATTGTTATTACTATTATTATTGAAAAACTATTATTATTTTAATTTTTTTTTATTGTGATTGTTATTATTATATTTGGACTGGTTATTGTAGCCGTGACTCTGGGGGAAACAAGAGGATAACAAAGGAGGAAACAAGCAGACTCAACTGTCCTGAACAAAGCGGCCGTCACAACAAAAGGGTGAGAGAACCGTCCCAACAAACAAACACATACAAAGGTGATACAAAAGTGCCCCCACCCCCCACACCCTTTACCCCCACCCCACCCCACACCCGTGATCATTATGTAGCTCTGATGGACGTCATGGAGCACTGGTCACCTGCTCTCTCTCTCTCTCTCTCTCTCTCTCTCTCTCTCTCTCTCTCTCTCTCTCTCTCTCTCTCTCTCTCTCTCTCTCTCTCTCTCTCTCTCCAAAAAAGAAAGGAAAAAAAGGTGTTAGAATCTTAGCCCCGAGGCTTTTCGACTTTTTATTCAACGGAAATAATAAACAAGGATGGAAGGTCAGCGAGAAGTGAACTTGGGTCCCATAGGCCTGACAGCCCCTTAGGATGATACACAACGTTGAATACTGAGCCTCGGAGACTGAAGGAGGAGGAGGAGGAGGCAGTTTGGCCGTAGGTTAGGTTAGGTACCCATTCACTGCTGATGGGTGGACTGGGGGTGCCCTGAACGTCAAGACAAGAAGCAAGAGTTGTGTCCATTACATCACTACACCTTAAGGGGGAGGGAGGGTGCAATACATACAATAAGAACAGAACATCACGTTTCACCACACACGTAACAGCCATTACCGAGACGCCAGAAGAAGTTTGTTTTAAAGTGTCCTCACCAACCAAGTCTTAGTGGTGAAGGTGAGGGTTTGGATACACTTGGGTTGATGTGGTTGATCAGGTTATTACCCAGGAAGTTTGGTAGCATTAAATCGGGTTGTGGGGGTGGGATGGCAGCCCCTAAGAGTGGAGGTTTAGTTCATACGTGTTAAAAGAGAAGCGTGGGTGTTCAAGGACATTCCCGCCGTCTATGAGCGTCACACACACACACACACACACACACACACAGGAAAGAGTTACAAGACAGTGTGTATTCGCAGCCAGGTATAATAACACAAGAAAAAAGATAGAGTAACACATAGCTGACTCCAACCTTACGTCGTGATGGTATTTCTTATAATACTTTAGCTGAGGCTGGTGAGGTGACCCCTAACTACAGGAGCGGCTGGGTGTTGACTAGTGTTGCTGGGTGTTGATGGGTCAGAAAACTAAGAAATAACTGTGAAATCTTTTTGTCTGGTAGTTTAGCGAGACGACGTAACGAAAACACCAGGAAACAACACCAATAAGAAGAAAAATAAGGGAAGTGTGGGACATGTTTGTGGTTCGTGGGGAAATAAAGGAGTTTGTGCGCCATATCGCTGAACCTCATAAAGGGAATTAATGGAGCTTAGGGCCACAATGACGTTCCATAAACAAAAGTGATGGTGTGTTGAAAGTGCTGCAGTATGTATATTGAGATTCTGGTTATAGATTATTATTATTATTATTTTTATACAAATAGTTAAGACATTAGGGAAATTTTTAATTGAAAAAAAGAAAAGAAAACTTGTCAAATGGGGAAAATAGGAAAACGGAAGTGGGAGAAATAGGAAGTGTAATTCAAATTTGCCATGGCTTGTGTGGGGAATGGTTGTCGCAGGATTGTGGTAGTTGTGGTTGATGTTAGTGGTTTGGTTTAATATAATAAAGTAAGAAGGTTGTGGTAGATGTTAGTTGTTTATGTTATATTGATGAGGAAATTATGGTAAGGGTTTGTTTTCCTTAGGCAGATGACAGGATTGTGGTAGTTGTGGTACATGTATGGTTGTTGTTTCAAGGTAGATTCTTGTGTTAGTGGACGTGTTTTACTGCGGGTGAGCCAGGAACAGTGAGGACACACATTCACACACGACCTATAGGCCTACTACGAACACCGATCAGTTAAAAAAAATCGTCAGCTAGGCTTAGTCACGCCCCCCCCCCCTCACTAGCCTCCTCTGTAAAGATGATAGCTGAGATGTCTTGGCTAGGGGTAGTAGGGTCTAGGGTTAGGTGGCGCTCTAAGTAAAGAGTCACACTCAATCCCTTACATTAGGTCACCCACACACGACTGCCATCACTTTCACGCTCGACAACTTCATCGTAAACAAAGATGATAGGCCTAGAGGCTGCTTAGGCCTACCCGGACCAGCTGATTCAGAGCGGATGAGACTCGAGTGACCGTATTAAAGGTGGAGTGTGGAGGACGACCTGAACCTCGGCAAGCTGTGTGTGTGTACCTGCGCTGACGTGTAGCCTGGTGTGGGGGTGGGAGGGAGGGGGGGCTGTAGGTGGAGGGAAGGTGTGGGTGTGAGAGAATGGATGTAGGAGGAACAGATAGACACAGATAACTAGATAGATAGATCAATAGACAGATCAATAGATAACAGTTAATTCATTATATACGTTACGTCATCTCGTGTTTCTTAATCATTTAACGTACGTGGCACCTCAGTCCTTATGATATCGTTCACCTGAGTCCCACCTCGCTCACCCTCATCCACCCAACACACCTCTATTGAACTATCCATTTTGACTCAATTTGAACTTTATTGGTCCACTGATCATATGTAGTCACGAGTCCTTGGTTATTATTATTGTTATTATTATTATTATTATTATTATTATTATTATTATTATTATTACAGGTGTTAATAGGATGGTATATAGCATCGTAAGACAAACAAACAGACACATATTTAATGGTTGCTACGCGGTCATTGCCCCTTGTGTTATATTACCATTACTATATAATGACTTGTTTATTTTACCGCGATGAATTTTGTTCTCATTTTTATTGACTGAGAGGTGGTCACGGTGTGGCTTACGACCTCCTCAAATTATGGTTAGGTTAGGAAATCTTGAGACTTGTGTATTATTATTATTATTATTATTATTATTATTATTATTATTATTATTATAAGAATTGACGTGTGGTTTACTTTAGTGACAACAATGGCGCGGGTATGTGAGATTGTACTGTATCTTCACGGTCCAGTTAGCTGATTTAGCCTATTGGCAGGTCATTCACTAATCAGGGAGTTGATTGGACCAATCCCCAGCCAGCGTGTGCTTGCAGTCTCCCTCAGGAATCAATTATCTGCCTAGTTTGCCTTATATTAACTTCGTAATAATAATGTTTGATGGAGAAATTCGTTGTTTGCTTTTGAATTATATTCTGATCGTCAAGGAAGTGTCATAAGGTAAGAATTTATCCATTAAAGTTTCAGTATAATCCTGAGAATTCTCTCGCCAAACTCCTCCCCCTCAGTCATCTCTCAGCGAATGGGCGACGTTCTTGACCTCACCTCGACCTCTGATTGGTTGCCTGTGTCTGCGATTTTCCCTGATGGGGGTCTACATAGTTTGTCCATTTGCTTGTGTCGACCGACGATGCGCTAATGGTGCTGGATTAACATACAATGGTAGGGCGGGAGTGGGGAAGTATGGTGACACACACACAGGTCCAGGATCGAAATTCTCGAGAGTCTATTCAATAAGCATTCCCGGTAAGTGATTGGTTGAATTCCTTACGATAAAACTCAAATATTACGTAAAAAAAATGGCGTAAAGGTGACACTGAAGCTCTACCTGAGATTGATTGATAGATAGATAATTAAAATCTGATTATAAACGATTCCGAAAACGCGCACGTCACAACCACCACACAACAACCACTACACCACCACACAACAACCACTACACCACCACACAACCACCACTACACCACCACACAACAACCACTACACCACCACACAACAACCACACAACAACCACTACTACTACACCACCACACAACAACCACTACTACTACACCACCACACAACAACCACAATAACAACCGCTACCACACAATAACCACCACTACTACACCCTCACACAACAACAACCACTACTACACCAACACAATAACAACAACAACTATCCAGAATTTATCGCTCAACATTCCTCTCTTTATGATTTGTGCGACCACCACCTCTCTTCTTTTTTTTACACTACTTCCTCTCTCTCTCTACCTCCTCTCCCTCCCTCCCTCCCTCTGTCCCTCCTCCTCTCCTCACGTACACTATCTCGTAATCAATTAACAATGACGTAACCGAAGGCCCATTCACAACTATGGGGTTAGCAGTCAGCTTTTAAAAATGCAAAATAGTTTATGTGTGTGTGTGTGTGTGTGTGTGTGTGTGTGTGTGTGTGTGTGTGTGTGTGTGTGTGTGACCTACTGCCTTACCTCTATACTTTACTATAATAATAATATTTAACAATGATCATTAATTTACAGTGTATAAATATGTTAGGATGAGTGAAGATAAGGTGTAAGGGTATATGAGGGAGGCTGGAGTCAGGTTTGGCTTTTAAGGTGTGTACGGGTTAATGAGTCAGGTGTAAGCAGGTTATTGAGTCAGGTGTATGCAGGTTATTGAATCAGGTGTATGTAGGTTAATGAGTCAGGTGTGTTGGTCTCCCTTAGTGACTCACCAACACTGCAGCATCTCCCTCAATGACTCACCAACACACTACAGCATCTCCCTCAATGACTCACCAACACTACAGCACCTCCCCCATCTTTTACAGTCTTATGTATTATGTAGATGAGGCTGTTAGACCCTTATGATTGAATAACCTGGCGATCTTAATGATATGCTAATATAAAAATGGATGTATTAATTATATGCTAATTTATAGGTAATGTTAATATTAGGTGAATGTATAGATAAGTGAGATTAAATTGTATTAGTTGTGTATCGCATTCTTGTGTGTGTGTGTGTGTGTGTGTGAAAATAAGAAATTCCTCGAGTTTTTGGAAATGGAAAGTGAACGGGTTAGGAGAGGTAGTAGGGGGAGGAGTGTGGAGTGAATGAAGCAGTAGAGAGGATGATTTGGTGAACGTCGTGGAGCAGGAGGACTATTATAACCTCAACTGGTGATAATGGTGTAACTGAGTAATGTTGATTTTGCACCTCTGTACCGCGTGAAGAGCGACCAGGAGGGTTTATTATTGATCAAGTGTTATCACCATTATGAAGTCAAGTTACTGTATACAGCACCATTACCACCACTACCACCACACTTGGGTCATCGCACCATCTACACCATCTATAATCAATGAAGGATTCCCCAAAGTGACACCAGACCAGGTTCAAGTCCGTATATTTTTCGCCATATTGATAATCCACAAGTAATAAGGGTCTCGAGTTGCCGACTTTGGGTACGAACTGGGGACTATGGTCTTGTCTGTTACGGGTGCTTGCGGCTCTATCATCCATATCCTCTACTTGCTGTTGTGTTTGTTAATATTATCTATGTTAGTTTGTTATATTGAGGTATATTTAATATCTTCCTCATAAGCAGATTTAACACAGTGATAGGGGTTTGTGAGGGAGGGAACAAGTGGCGTGGCCTGGCGAACGTCGGCACTTGCTTACCAAATCAATATGGAGAGTGTTGGTTGTGTGGCTGGTGTACGATAATAGTGTGGCCACGTCCCGTTAAACCATCAGTAGTGGTAAAGTTAGTGGTGGTAAACATGTGGTGAGAGGTCGGGGTGAAGGATGATAAGTACACGTAAAGGAGACATAGAAATAACACAACAAAAACGGCCTATGGAGAGAGAAGAATGTGAGAGCTTAAAGGTGATGTGGCAAATGTTTGGAGGCTCTCTTTGTCCCTGCGCTTCAAAACCTGCCAGCTCCGTCCCACCAAGGTGATCTCTCCCCTTTTCTACACTTATTTTGGTTGATATTGCAACTTTGACACGTAGAGTGGGTGTACAGGTGTCAACAATTGTCCTCCCCGCACACGCCCCACACCCGTCATGATGGTCCACCTACCATCTGTCCACACTACTCAGTTTTCATTCATAAATTCATCTCTAGGCCAGTGACCTACATTTTTTTTTATTTAAAAGTTAGATTATTGCCATCGGTTGTAGTTTGATCACTAGTGTATGAATTTTGTTTTTAATTCATTTCATGTCGGGGGGATATTCATATTTATGGTGCGTGGCTCTGGTGTAAAGTTTACGAGGGAAAGGCGGACAATGTTTTTACTTTTTTTTATATTATCGTACCTTGTTGTGCTCACTTATGTAATTATTTTGTAAGATTTAAGTTGTGTGTGTGTGTGTGTGTGTGTGAGTGAGAGGAGGTAGTGTGGGTGATGGAGGTAAGTGAAGAAGCAGGTGCAGGAGTGAATGTTGGTGGTGGAGATTCACCCTCTGCCCCGACAACCTTAGTGTGTATGTGTGTGTGTACAGTATATGTGTGTGTGTGGTGGTATTGGCGGCGGCGGAGTCATTTGACGGAGTGTGACGTCACCGCACCGCTATCCTCACCAACATTGACGGGGTGCTGGAGTACACACACACACTCACCAGAATCGTGTTTTGTTTTGTTTTGCTGTATGGTGGTTTTGTTTGCTACTGGCACGCGCGAACACACACACACACACACTGAGGACACAGGGGAGCAAGAGGAGAGTGTGGGAGGGATTTAAAGCTAGCAGCCAGGGAGACAACCAGCCAACCAAGCCGGCCACCCAGACACCCAGCCAGCCAGTCTAGCCGGCCAGCCAGCAAGCCTAGCCGGCCACCCAATCAGCCAGCAGGTCACCCAGACAGCCAGCCACATAGACACCCACCTAGCCACTCACAGACACCCACCTAGCCAGCCACATAACCAGTCTTGTAGCCATGGACACAGATATCTTTATAAAAACAGTCAGCCACTCAAGCAGTCAGTCTCAGTCAGACAGACAGCCCGTCAGTTTTACTGTATAGTCTGTCATTCTGGCAGTCTGGGAGAATCAGTCAGTTTGACAGTTAGGAAGAGAGCCAGTCAGTCTGACAGTCATGAAGGAAGCCACACAAACAGTCAGTGCGAGTCAGGCAGAGAGCCAAGCTGGGTGATTACTGATAGTCAGAGAGCCAGTCAGGGTGATAGTCAGAGAGCCAGGCAGGGTAATAGTCAGAGAGCCAGGAAGGTTGATAGTCAGAGAGCCAGGCAGGGTGATAGTCAGAGAGCCAGGCAGGTTGATAGTCAGAGAGCCAGGCAGGGTGATAGTCAGACAGAGAGGCAGGGAGCAGCAGCGGGAGGTAGTGGTGTGGGGGTTCTGCTTGAATGTGCGCCTCAGCCCAGCCAGTGTCCAGCATCTGAGGCGCCCACCTACCCCCTGCCTCCTACCTCATCCCTTCATCCTATCTCTTGCCTACCTCCTCCTTCGCTCCCTCCTATCTCCTGTCTTCTTCTGCCCTTCCCCCTCCTTCCCCCCTTCCCTCCCTATACACTACGGTTCCTTATTGACTACCCCTTACCTCACACCTCCCCTCTTCCCTCCCCTTTACCTCACACCTCCCCTCCCCTTTACCTCACATCTCCCCTCTTCCCTCACATCTCCCCTCTTCCCTCCTCCCCTTTACCTCACGCCTCCTCCCCTTTACCTCACATCTCCCCTCTTCCCTCCTGAACCTTTATCACCTCAAATAAATAGTTAACCTGTAAATATATACTGATAAAGGTTTAAAGTTGGCACTGTAGTTTTTGGAACCTTTGTATGTATCAATGTATGTATGCATGTATGTATGTATGTCGGTAGGTAAGTAGGTAGGCAGGTAAGTAATTAGGCAGGTATGTATTTGTATGAATATATGTAGGTAGGTAGGTAGGTAGGTAGGTAGGTAGGTAGGTAGGTAGGTAGGTAGGTAGGTAGGTAGGTAGGTAGGTAAGTAATTAATTAGGTAGGTAGGTATGGATGTATGTATGAATAAATATATATTGGTAGGCATGTAGGTATGTATGTAAAGAAGACACACCTGTTTATAATGCATATACAGGTGTAACAATCAATATGTCAGGTAGGTTTGTTTTGCATAGTAAAACATAACGTTTCACCGGTGTAAATTTTATCCATCAATCCACTCGGCCATCGGCTGTGTGTGTGTGTGTGTGTGTGTGTGTGTGTGTGTGTGTGTGTGTGTGTGTGTGTGTGTGTTGGTCGTGGCAGAGGAGAGGGACAGTGCCGCCGTCTATCGTGGAGGAACAAGAGGACTTAAGCGCCTTCAATTGTGAGTGATAGTGATTTATTGGGCGGCTGCTACGGTCCTAATCTCTCTCTCTCTCTCTCTCTCTCTCTCTCTCTCTCTCTCTCTCCGGGATTTACCTGTACATCCCTGATTTACGTGTGGACTTCAGATTTGCGTGTGTCCATCAGACTTACTCCTGTGTATCTCAGATTTGCGTGCAGGGAGAATTTACGTGTGAAGGGAATATGGCATAAAAGCTGACTGGTAGAAGCAATAAGGCTGGGCGGGGCAGTTAACAACATCTTTATGCTGATTGGTGAAAAACGAAAGATGGGCCGCACATGGGTCAAGTTGTCTGCTGAATGGTGGAATCAAGAAAGGTGTAATAATAAGTTGTAGCTAATTGGTGGATTGAATAGATGTGGGCGTAGCAAAGGAATACATTACTTTCGCTGATTGGTGGATTAATGAGGTGTGGGCAGGGTAGAGAGAGACACACTTGTCCTAATTGGTGGGCTGATGAGATGTGGGCGTGGCATTGAGTACATTTACTGTCAGCACCGTAGTCGGGACACACACACACACGCTTTGTTTTACCACTAACACTGAAAATATTTGCTATGTGTTTATTGATATTCGTTATAATGATCATATTCAACACATTTTTAATTTCCAGTAAAAATTTATAAGTTATTTGTACTAAATGTTATTGTAATTGTTATTGCTGATTATTACTGTTATTGTTATTGATGTGATTCAGCTGTGGGTGTTCATGTGTTTGTAAGGACCGTTTTGTTTTGTTTATAAAGGAATAATCATTAACTTAATCTTTTATTAATTGACGTGATTAGCGAAGAAAAATGGGAGGTGGATTGAAAGAGTTTAGCTTCTAGTGCCACTGTGTGTAAATTATCCAATCTCAGTGCCACTATATCCACATCTAATCTCAGTGCCACTACATCCAATCTCAGTGCCATCAATCCACATCCAATCTCAGTGCCACTACATCCAATCTCAGTGCCATCAATCCACATCCAATCTCAGTACCACTCCATCCACACCCAATCGTTCCAACACCAATCTCGGGTTCGGATTTTACCATGCAAATTGGGTGATGGCGGAGAGTGCCGAAGGCAGTGCCACGAGAACGAACGCTTGGTAGTGTTAGTAACTTTAATTCGCCTTTGTTCACACCTCTCTACGTTGCTTCCTTCGATTCCCTAGTTATCGTCTTCTGTTATTATTGTTATTATTATTATTATTATTATTATTGTTATTATTATTATTATTATTATTATTATTATTATTATTTTACAGGATGCATAGAACTTTTAAACGTGAATTTGATGATATAATGTGGTAGGTTAGGTTGGGTTGGGTAAATCATTGGTGTAATATAAGTACAGCCACCTTCACTAGTGCGTTTACAGGGGCTCGTTAGGTTTTGTGCTGTGTGGCAGCCCTGTGTTTGTTTACATACGACAGAAGGAAACACACAATAGTGAACATACTAAGGAATCAAATTCAAACAATATTAAAACTGATACCACAAAGATAATGATTTGTGGAATGTTTATATGACGAGTCCCTGTAAACGCACTAGTGAAGGGGACTATACAGGTGTGTTGCTACAGTGTATTAATTACCGTATTTTCCCATTACAGGTGTGAGGGACCACTGGCCACCAAGTGCTGTCAACTACTAGTGCCTGGTAAGTTAGCCACACCCTTGTACCCTACCTAGTATGAGATATTAAAACCCATAAACACAGGAACAGACGAGACTAACACACACACGAATGGACAAAGAGAATACTTAATTACGAAAAACCTTAGTCTCTTACTGCTAACAAATTTAGGTGAAACAGGTTGATTGACAGACAGACAGACGGGCAGACAGGTGTGTTAATTAGCGTATCTCCCTGCATAAGGCGTTTGGTCTTGACTTTATGCTTAGGATAATGTTGATGGGGGTAAATCATTTATTGTTAAACGAGTTCCAGTAATCACCTGGCTGTAACTTTGTCTCGCCAGGTAACCCAATTACCGTACAGCAGGGAGGTCCCGGGTTCGATCCCATGACGGTGAAGATAAGCATTTCCAGTGTTAATAAAATACGGAAATATTCAAGCACAGTAATGATGGCTTACTGTTGGGCGTCTTAGGATGGTCGCATGGATAGATGGATAGATAGATAGATGGATGAATAGATAGATTTATGGATGGATAGATGGATGGATAGATAGATTTATGGATGGATAGATGGATGGATAGATAGAAAGATATTGGTTTTCTTATAGTCTTCTCTTGTCTCGATATTTTAGACTCATTCATGGAAGAGGTGTGGGTGAGGGTATGGGCGTGGGTGAAGGTGTGGGTGAGGGTATGGGCGTGGGTGGAGGTGTGGGTGTATGAGGGGGAAGATAGTGGGAGGGGATTCCGTCTCTCCCCTCACCAAATCCTGGGAACATCTTACTCAACAAAAACCAGTGGTGATCTTTCCCCTCACTTACACCCTTCACCATGGCCGTCTCCACCACCAATAACAAAGTGATACATCTCTCTCTCTCTCTCTCTCTCTCTCTCTCTCTCTCTCTCTCACGGAGTTACAGTGTCCTATCGGTGGCGGCGTCAGTTTTTATAAAGAGTTTCCTGATCTGACTTCAGAAACTGTCTGCTTATCAGATACTGGTGTAGCTGGAATGGACCCCAGTCCTAATAGGCCCTAAGCTGACCTAACCTAACCGAACCTAGCTGGACCTAACTTGACCTGTTTGATCCTAACTATAACTTAGTTGGACCTAACCTAACCTAATTAATCCTAATATAACCTAGCTTAACTTAATCTAAGGAGTTGTGAAGGTGTGGATATGTAGGTGTGGATATGTAGGTGTGGTTGTCGGGCGGGTGTACCTTTTGAGGTTACCCACAAGCCACCACCTGTACATATTTCCTTATTTACCAGGTACTAAGGGGTTTACCTCCCCCCCCCTTCCTCTCCCCTACTTGCCATATACTGAAGCTTCAGAAACTCCATTTTAGCTCTTATACATACATACATACATACTTACTCTTAACAGTCATCGCGTTTATTCACCAAAAAGTTTGTGTCTGTGTGTGTGTAAACTGACCTCAGGTGCCACATAAACTGGTAGAGCGGTAGGTCTTTGTTTATTTTGGAGGTGTGAAGGTCTTTGTTTATTTTGGAGGTGTGAAGGTCTTTGTTTATGTTGGAGGTGTGAAGGTCTTTGTTTATGTTGGAGGTGTGAAGGTCTTTGTTTATGTTGGAGGTGTGAAGGTCTTTGTTTACGTTGGAGGTGTGAAGGTCTTTGTTTATGTTGGAGGTGTGAAGGTCTTTGTTTATGTTGGAGGTGTGAAGGTCTTTGTTTACGTTGGAGGTGTGAAGGTCTTTGTTTATGTTGGAGGTGTGAAGGTCTTTGTTTATGTTGGAGGTGTGAAGGTCTTTGTTTATGTTGGAGAGGCGTTGGAGAAGGTGTAAAGGTCTTTGTATACTTTGGAGGGGCGTGTGGGTGTGAGGGAAGGCGCGCGCAGAGGTCTTTGTTTACGTTGGAGAAGGCGCGGTGGTCTGGGTTTACGTGGAAGAGGCGTGTGGGCGCGGCCAGACAGTGGGTAGCCGGCGGTGTCGTTTGTCAGCGGCATTTGGTCCTGTGCCAACCTCCAGCCCGCACTCCCACGCCTCCAACTTGTCCTCCAGCCTCCACCACGCCTCCAACATATCCCCAACATTTCCTTGAGCCTCTACCACGCCTCCAACATGTCATCATCACGCCTCCAACCTGTCCACACACGCCTCTCTGACCCAACATACCTACATTCGAGTCCATTAGTATTTTGGCACCTTAGAACTGGGGTCCATTAGTCCAGTCACCCACGCCTACAGTAACACCCACGCCCACATTACCACCCACGCTTCCCACTTTTCCAAACACATCCACGCCTGCTTCCTGTCCAAACACACTCACGCCCATAATATTGATTACCTTAAAACTCACGTGACCACAACACGTATCAAGTGACCTCAACACCTGCCAAGTGACCTCAACACCTGTCAAGTGACCTCAACACCTGCCAAGTGACCTCAACACCTGTCAAGTGACCTCATCAATACCTGGCAAGTGACCTCAACACCTGTCACGCGACCTCAACACCTGTCACTTGACCTTAACACCTGTCAAGTGACCTCAACACCTGTCACGCGACCTCAACACCTGTCACGCGACCTCAACACCTGTCACTTGACCTTAACACCTGTCAAGTGACCTCAACACCTGTCACATGACCCTCCTCAGTAATCAGGACATCAAACAGCATAAACCATTTAATTAATCAATTCAACTAATTAGACTGTCATATTAGCTTGGTAATCAGCGGCAGTAACTATTGAGTCATCCATACCATGTAATTATCACCCATGCCAACCAATTCATCAACCATATTAACTAATTTATCACCCAAATCAACCACATTAGGGATACCAACCACATTAGGGATATCAACCACATTTAGGGTATCAGCTAAGAGTATCAACCACATTTAAGGTATCAGCTACGGGTATCAACCTTGCTAACCAAAGTATCAACCTTATCAACAAGTCAAGCTATCATTCAACCACACATCAACCAGATAATTACACAGTATTAGGCCCAGTTCATCACCCAACAGGATTTCCCCTCAGATGTAGCATTGAGTGATGGTGGAGCACACACTTACACACACACTCACACACACACACACACACACACACACACACACACTCAGGCCTCATTATACCCCTGTCTGTTCTCGTGAGGACATGTGTGTATCATAGTCAAGATCAATCACTAGATGAGTATGGTTTAATTCTTTGTGGATGGTGGTTTAACACGTTGAGGATTGCGTGTTTGTCGTTTGAGGAGGTTGGTTTAGTCTCTTGAGGATGGTGGTTTAACACGTCGAGGTTTACTGTGTGTTTTTTTTAAGGGTGATGGTTTAACCCCTGGAGGATGGCGGTTTAACACATTCGAGAAGATATACAGCCTTTTAAGCACGGTTTAACCCTTCAAGGATAATGCAATTGACACCTTCAGAGGGTCAAACTAATCAAGTGGTTGAAATATTTATGAATTTTCAACATCAAGGTAAAAACTGGTCGAAATTTGTGTATTTATTGATAACAAACGATAATTACTTGAAAATTACACAGGTATTAAGGCAGGTATCAGCTGCCATTTGGGTTTATCCTGTAATCAAGGTGTGAGTAATTGTGTAATCTTGTTGACATACACTATCGCTACACAACACGCCTCATTGGACATCCGACACCCTTTATATTATTCTCTGTGGTAATTAGTGTACAGTATTGGTCTATCAGTGACAGTATTCCCACCCCCTAGCTAATGCCACTACCAGGGACTCTCTCTCTCTCTCTCTCTCTCTCTCTCAAGCCTCGATGAATTTCCTTTCCTCTCACCACTAGAGCAGAATTGTGAAGTACCTGTTGTGTATTAGGTGAATATTTTAGTAGACACGATCCCAAAACAGTGTCTTCAAGGAGGAAAAATTCAGGAGCATTCGTAACATCGCTAGGCAGACCTTACGCCCGTGGTTCATATCAGCAGTACGGGGCCTGTGTATTGATTTTATATATATATTTTTTTCCTTTCTTGTAACAGGTGCAAAGTGTGTGTAATTATTTTAGGTAGAGTCTTAAATTTTGATGCTATTTTTGGAAATTTTTATGTTTTTTTTGTGTTAGTTGTATGCTATTTTTGCCTATTTTATTTTATTTTTGTAATTTTTATGCAATATTTTTGTTTTATGCTATTCGGTTTTCCTTTTGTGCTATTTCTTGTTATATAATGCAATTTTTAAGTTATTTTTTGTTCTTCACCTTAAGTCAATCATTACATCTTTACCTACGAGGAAAATCCAACCTAAGAACCTTTGTGTATCCGAGAAGATTATTACCAGAATGAGAACAGATCCAGGTGCAAATTATACATATTATTATTTATTTATTTATGTATTCTTTGTATGTTATTTACTCTTTTAGTAATATTTTTCCTTATATGTTCTGCTGTTTCTATTTATTGTTTGTCGAAGATGAATATGCAAAACGTGTCTTCATGTGCATATAATGTAGCTAAAAATTTTCCCTTATTGAGGTGATAAGATTTTATACCCAGACATCTATGTAGGTGTTAGAACATTGCCCCAAAACTGTGTTCTATAATGCTGGTAAATACTGTCTTGGTTTTATGGTTTAGATGTAAAACTGTGAGACTGAGTTTGAGTCTGGTTAGTCGACGTGAGGGGATAGGCTAAGAGGAATTAAGGCAGGTTCTCATTGCAATCTTAATAACATTCTCATTATAATTTTATTCTCTCCCCTGACAATACATTTGAGTCTTCACTGTAATTGTTACGTTATTTTGAGCGTTATTTTTACGTATTATCTGAAGTGAGCCAGTCAGAGTTTTTCGTTATATCTCCTCTTACTCAGAAAAGCCAACACATGATTATTTTTTTTTAGAATCCAACTCGTGGGCATGACGTGATACTGACTCACTGAAATAATATAATGTTTACATCACCTCATAAGACAGATAATATAACCCGGGTATAAGAGAGGATCACCATAAGTAAACCCGGACGTAATTTAAACACATATGATTCTATAAACATCACATCCAGGACACTATAAAAACACCAT